TGTAAATGCGACCCGCTACCAGGTACAGGTGAGGGCATGTTACCTGTAACCTGATGTTTTCGTGGTAGCTTTGCCGGCCATCATCAAGAAAAACTTTTCGCTATTCGTGTATGAGCCGGCCGAGCTGAGCCGAGTTTAAGTAATTGCTTTTGCTCTTTTGCTTATTAGCGGTGTGTTGTTTAGTTGCCTTTATTGTTTCCGCGGTTTTCTGTTGTGCTTGGGACATTCGCGTGCGTTTCTTCAGGTACTCTACGGAAATTTGGGGGAGGGGCGTGGGAGGGCGGGCGGAGAGGAGAGGGGGCACTGTGTGTGCCATATATCTGAGTGGTCACGATGGCAAACAGCGGGGCTGGCGCCCCGTAAGCTTAGTAACGCCTCCGGACGAAGTCGTCGATCGCTTTCGGCCCCTCTTATTTTTTACTTCTTGTTTGCTGAAATTCGCCATTTGTGACGCTTTTTCGTTTCTTCCTATCGTAAACACTTCCAGATCTGTTTTGATCATCTATTTTAATCTCTCATCTCAATGAAAGGCTTTGTGCGGGTAATCCTCGCGCCTGGTTGTTTGATTTTTTTTTTCGCGTTGTTCCTTGCTCTGTGGGTTGGATTCGGTATATTTTCGGAGTCCAGAAATGAGGCCTTTTCTCCCTCGTTCCTCAGCTCTTCCCGCACAGCTGTACTGTACTACCAAATCCGACTGTTTTGGGCGTACCTTTCCTTCCTTTACCACTCTCTGTTCAAACGGTGCATATTCGTTCCTGGTCACGTTTGATCCACAATAAGCTCCCTCCCCTCCCCGCTGCACTTCATCAGGTTTTTTCTTGCTCCCTCTCCCTCATCTCCTCTCTTTTCCCTCCTTCTCCTCCCCATTCCCTTCCCCTTCTTTCCGACTCGCAGCTCAGCCTTCTGTTTCCCACCACTCGCTCGCTTCGATCATGAATAGAGGCCCTCCCATCCGGACAGCGCCAATCAAATGTCTACACGTCTCCTATCAGTAAGAGATGGTTAATAGCATATGGGTGTGTGTGTGTATATATGTTTGTGTTTTTGTAT